AATGTAAAATAAAATTTTTAATATATTTATTTAGCACTTAACATTAATATGGTATATATATAATAATAATTGGGTGATGTTTGCTAGTTAATTTAATAAAAATGTATGTATGTATGATCTGCATTTTTCATACATGTATGGAAATAAATTCATACGTTACATACATAGAGGTTCATACATTACATGTTTTCTGTATTACCGTAAAATCTACATTAATTTCTGTTAAATAAAGTTAAGAATGTTATACAAAATAAATAAAATGGAATAAATAAATTATAAAATAGATTAATGCGGAATTAGAGAATTTCGGCCAATGAATCGGCATTGATTTATATTCCAGTAAGGCTATCAAATTTAAATTTTTATTGGTTTAAAAATAAATTCGGATCAATTTCGGTTTGCATGTAAAAAGTTCAGTTTACCCATCAAACTGGCTCAAACCGAACTGTTAGGAGCTTTAGGAGACACAATAAGATATAAGGTTTGAAACAAGGATCCAAAAAACCAAATTGGCTGATATGATTATAATGTATTGAATAAAAAGAAATTACAGAACAATTTCAACATCAAAAAAAAAAAAATCTTTGTCATCAAACTCTAGTGATTGATTTATCGTGATAGGATTTTAACACTCTTTAAAACTTCAAATTGAAACTTACAAAAGCCTGTACCTAACCCTGTCTAACATACTATGTAAAAGTCATTCTAAATGCCAATATCAACTAGTATATGTGCGTTTCAAACTAAGACACTAAAGACAGCTCAAGCTTGCTTTATTTTATTGTTAATATTGTTATGTATTACTATTATCCATAGTTAACTTCAAAGTCAAAAATTTAAAAAAAAATCAAGTCAATATTGATATGCCTATGAGTGTTTCACACTATAGATGTTAGCCGAAATTGCCTCTCTTAATAAATGATCATTGCTGAATCCGAAATGCTGAAATAGTTTCTGAAATTAACTTTATTAGTTGCCGAAATTATATCCAAAATTATTTGGACTCATTAACATAATAGCCAAAATGCTAGGTTGCCTTTTTATGGTCTTTAATATGAAAAATATTGTGAATCTGAAATTGCTTGCTGAAATTGATTTTTTCAAAACAATTTCGGCTAACATCCTTATTTCACACTCAGGTATTAAAGACAATCCAAAGGTATTTTGATTTTTTTCATTTTATGAAATGTAATAATAATAATAAAAGAATTGTAATAGTTTTAATTTTTTTAATTTGTATGGTGCGGGTCACTCTAACACATCAAATTCTGTGCAAAATGTTTCAAATTCAAAAAAAAAAAGCAAAAATTTTTTTTATCACTTTCATTACAAAAATCACCTAATTCGGACATTTTCCGAAAGGCAAATCCTTTATCCATGGAATAACAATGGGTAAAGCTTCTGCCTTTCGGGGTGTGTGGCGTGGATATTTCTGATGTTGATCTCCGGGATTTTGTCCGGATAACTCACTCTATGATCGACAAACTCATGGGTAGGATAATTATAATATATCCCTCTACAGGCAAAACCTTTATCCATGATGACAAATGGATAAAGGTTTTGCCTGTTCGGAAAATGTCCAAATTACCTGGTAAAAACATAATAATAATAATAATAATAATAAGATAAAACAAAAACATGTGATTTTCGAATATTGATTCCAAAACATTTTAATTTATAATTAAAAAAACGGGTCTGATTCATTTCGTTGACAATCATTTCGTTGACAATCATTTCGTTGACAATCATTTCGTCGAAAGTTCATTTCGTCGAAAGTTTGTTTCATCGAAAATTATTTCGTCAACAATCACTTCGTCGACAATCACTTCGTTGAAAGTTCACTTCGTTGAAAGTTCATTTTGTCAAAAGTTCATTTTGTCAAAAGTTTGTTTCGTTGAAAGTTCATTTTGTCAAAAGTTCATTTTGTCGAAAGTTCATTTTGTCGAAAGTTTGTTTCATTGAAAATTATTTTGTCGAAAGTTCATTTTGTCGAAAGTTCATTTTGTCGAAAATTATTTTGTCGACAGTTCATTTCTACAACAATTCATGTTAATTTGCATGTATTATAGTGTTACCAATTATG